TGCATACTGGGTCAGAGCAGACACGAAGCCTTCAAAGCCATAGCAAGTTCTTACCGATGAGGAGCCGATGAGGCCCATACGCCGGAGTGAATCTTTGTAACTGGCATACATGTTTTTTTGGTTGTTTTATTTCACTTCTTAGTTTGGCTTTGTAAGGAAACACAGTCATGATGTTTGTGTCTCTCACGCTTCAGGTCGCAGTCAGTGGTTTTGAACTCATTAGACACCTTCTGCTGAATTTAGCATGTGGGAAGAAGGCTCAACTGTACTGATTCTCCTTTACTCTTATCACCTGTCTGCTGCCTTTCTCCCCAGACAGCGAGAAAGTATGGTCAGAAGTAGATGATCTTTAAGGAGCTAGACGACTCTTTAAGTCCCTTCTGGCTCAAACTATTCTATGTAAGGGAGTATGAAAGTGAACGGGACTGCAGATTAGGGCAGCAGCTGAAAGAAGGACAGCTATGGAGGCCTGGGGACATTCAAAGGATCGTGGTGGAGATGGTGGCACAGGTTGGTTGTGTGGCTGATGGGAAGAAGCTGAAGGGAGACATGGGCAGCACTCAAGACCTGAGGGGTGGGAGTGGTTGTGGGAGTTTACAGGAAATGGGGACTGCTGTCATTGGGAACAGTAAATAACAAAGGATCATAAATCCTTAGGAAAACGATCCTCATTAGCTGCACTGCTCACCAAGCAACTTTAATGAAATACAGCTGTCACTTCAAACCTTTCAAGTTCAGCATTTTCAGGCACGGAACCAATAATAGATGATACAGCCTTTTTATTTATCCAGGAGCACCTGTCAGGCCACGAAGGACTTTTCCAAGGGTCAGTGCTGTGTGGGAGTAGCTTTACCTGTCTTTTTTATTATTTTTTAAAATATAAGTATTTTTCCTTTCAGTGTAGTTAAATCAATCACTTTACCTACAACATCTTACAGCCTTTTTAGGTTCTTTTGATTTTATTAAATCTCAGAGATCTTTGTTTTTTTACTAAGCTGGGAGACCTTTGTTTTACTATCAGATTGGACATCTACCAAGAAGAGTAGTATTTTTACTGTATTTAGTGTTTGGACTGAAGATAAATGGAAGCCGCATTATTCTGGTTGTCCTCTTTGGTATTTTTCAAGTAAACTGAATGTCAGTGCATCTGGTAAGTAATGGTTTTATTTTGCAGAGACAAGGCAACTGCACAGGGTGTGTCAGAAGTTGCCTAATTCTTCTCAGTTAATGTTCATAATTTGTTCTTGTGTAGATAAGTAAAGTCAAAGCCTTTATGTCCCGACTCTTGTGAGATGCGCATGTATGGTGATAAACACTAGTTTAAAGCACAAGCTTGTCCAAAAAACGCCCACAAACTGTCGATACCAGACATAGCAAAAAGGGGAGACGTGTTCAAAAGTAAATCACAGATTTTTTTTCTTTATTCAGTAAAAGGATTAACTGGAAATATGATTCGTTCCTGGAGCTTAGACGTAGAACCGTGGACATTCTCCTTCTTCAACGTAGCTTCAGTCACAGAAGTGCAGACGTTAAAAACAGAAAAGCCAGCACAGGGAATCCTCTGTTGCTGCAAAACTGAGCAACTCATGGGGCAGCTCGTGGCCAAACACTGCCTGTTGGAGCCCGCTGGAGAGGGCTCTTGGGGCAGCCAAGCCGTGGAGTAACCAGGGCTGGAGGCAGCCCGGGGGTGGTGGAGTCGATGAATAATGCTGAAAAAGTCAGTGTGTTCGAGGCACCGTGACACACAGGGACTGCATTCCTGTCACGTAATGGTAGTCCTCTACCAAGCTCTTACTCTTGGGCAAACCCTGAAAATCAGCAGCAGGGGTTAATGAGATGATCCTACGCGCAGGAGCTACTCTGAGTAAGGCTTAGAAGGACCGGGCCTGTCGGGTGAAAAACGTTGCTTGTCCCAGTAAGTCCAAATCTCACGGCTGTCACGAGAAATGAATCCAAGACGCTGACAGACTAGTGAAGACCGAGAGCAAATTCTGTGCACGTTAAAAATAGCTGAATGTGAAGGGACAGAGCATGCCTCCCAGGCGCGGGGCTAAATCAGGGATGGCAGGAAGTCACACGGCTCCAGACATGTCACCTACCTGCACTTGTCGCTGGCACCACATCACTCCCTGCTCTGCGCCCTGCTCCACACGCAGCCCCCACACCTCCACAGGAGCTTGTGGTTAGTTTGCACTCCTACATCTCAGATCTAATACCACAGTGCTCTCTGCCCCGTTGTGTTTGGTGATGTTTTAAGTAACAGGCCCTGCTGAAAGGGAAGGAGCAGCAGTCCCTCTCCCAGCCTTGGGACCTCTCTCCCAGCTGTATGCTCTACTGGGCTCTACTGGTTGCTGTCTTCAGCTCCACTGTGTTAGGCACTGCTGTTCTTCTTCATCTGAGGAAACTGGACACCCATCTTCTCCTCTGGCTTACGTGACACAGTTTTGGGACATACAACCTCTCTGTCCCATTCATGGAAAGGGGATCTTGGTGTCCATGTTGACATCCAAGTCTTCCCTGTAATTTCAAGCACCCCATTTTCAAAGCGTCACCCCTACATACTCTTAAGTGTATAATTAACTTCTTAAGAGACGTGGGAAAGAAATGCTTAGTGTTCTTTTAGAGGATCCAAAACCCAACCTCTTTTTACCCTAGTAAAGGAAACTTTTACATAGTAAAGGAAATACAAAAGCTCAGATAAAACTGTGGGCATGCTTTTGAGGATTTCCTTGCCATTGTTCTTCCCCATACTTAAGCACTCTCTGGGGGTAGGCTGGAGTCTGAAAACAGCTCAGTTAATCCTTCACCTCACTTCTGATCCATCACATTGGTCCATCACACTTTCTTCCGTGGGGAGCTGCTTTCCTCTTTGCTCGGCTGGGTAATGAAAAGCTGCTCAGCCACAAAAGCACGACTTCTCTTTGTTCCTTCTCTTTTGTCTCTCTGAGCATCTAAAGCCCTGTGCTCCTTAAGACTTAATGTTAACTCTGCTTCTGATGGTTATCTGCCCTTCAAGCCTGACACCCTTACGAAACAATAGAAAAACGTGGGTGTGAGGTGTGATGCCATTACACTGCTCAGAGTTGCTCCATTTAAATGGGAGACCCTGGGGTCTGTGACTTTCTCTGGTGTGAGAGATTTGTAAGCCGCAGTGGTAGACATGGCTCTATTGGAAAGCAGGGCTAGGCAGCCTTCCTGCAATTCACTGCAACTCCTAAAAACGAATAATGGGCACATTCCCTGAATCGTGGTATCAGCAACCCACAGTTTCAGGACCCGAGGCAGAGGAGAAGTTGAGCGACTGCCTTAGTGTCTGGCAGGATGTCCCTGGCATGTTTTTCGCTTGCTGGAGGTTTTAAAGCTCTCTGTGAGGCAGGCATTAAACATACTGAGGTCTGTATTTGCTAATAGCAACAAAGGTTAGCGACTCCAAATAAATCTTTCAGCTTTTCAGGAGTCATCTTGTCAGCTGGTTTATTCTTTAATATTTATATGTTTCTGGCAACTTTTCCAGGTGTGTGAACTTTAGCCGACTCCAAGTAAAGAGGAGTTTGCCTTTGGGACTATAGGACTGACCATAGCAGGTGGCTGTTTGTATCCAGTGTTGTCTCCTACAGCAGCAGCATGAACAGTAGCTCACCAGAGATGAAGTGCAGGCTTACTTCTTTTACACTAATGTACAGCCCTCAGGATTATTCTTTTACCTGCTCTTTCAGCCTTTCCAAGTTTGATTATTTTTTTTTGTTAGCCTGGATTAAATGTATGATGACTTTTATTACTAAATCAGCCTGGCCTTGCAATACTGTAAAACAAAGCCTTTTACCATGTTTTCTGTTTGAACTGGTGAGACTGTAAATTGATATTTTCCAGTTTCAGCCAGAAGTGCTCAATAATTCATATGTTTTACATACAGTCTTGTGGCTCGTTCTGTTCGCACCAGTCTTTGAGATAAGGAAAACCTAATGGCAAGCAGTATTTGGCTGAATGCACGTTTACAGATTAAAAACTAGGAGCTTCAAAAGGCTGATATTAAGAGCCAGGGTTAGTGTCAACCCTAATGACTCCTGAAGTCACTGCTAGTAGTACTGGGTTATGTGGAAGGACTTTTTTGCTCACAAAACAGTCTCCTAAGTGCTGCCAGTAGTTAGTCTGGTTATTTCAGAGTCTGACTGCTGAACAAAATTGCAATGCATTGTTATTGTAAAGAGACACAAATTAACCACAAGTGAAAGTGTGGAGGCTTTTTGTTTGAGATCAGGGTACAATCTTTCTTATTTTTCTGCTCAGTTCTTCAGTAGAGATCTCTGTACGGGCAGAGGTGCTGTAAGCATCCAAAGATGAATCTCTGCAGCAGCTGCTATGGCAGAGGGTGAAACACGGCTCTGTGCCTTCCTCTCCCCAGCCCTCGCTCCCCTCAAGCTGGTGGCATTTGTGGTCATCTCTGGGAAGTGCCTTGCTGTGCTCCTATTTCTTACTGTGATTTAATCAGCGACTGCAGGTTTCAAACCCAGAGACTTCATACCAGATTTGGCAGGAGCAATAATTTCAGGTCCCTCTGTTCCGAACATAAGCAGACAGTGCCACTTACCACTTTTATCCCAACGTGCTGCGATAGCATGTTTTGAAACGGCTTTGGAAGGACTGGATTGTTTCAGCGTCTTCGCGCAGGCTACGTGAGCCTCCGAAACGGAGCGGGGAACGTGGTGGACAGCGCCAGTTTGGTGGCAGTGCGTGTGAGCTGCTTGCTGAGAGGGAGGAGGGGGGATTTTATTGGAGTGAAGTGTGTGCTGTGCTGTGCTGTGCTGTGCTGTGCTGTGCTGTGCTGTGCTGTGCTGTGCTGTATTTCGGGGGTATGTGTTGTGTTTGGGGGTGAGGTGGGGATGACTGTCAGGCTTGGGGAGAGGGAGGGAGGGAGGGAAGGACAGGAAGGGAGGGAGCAAGCAGGGAGGCAGAGGGAGGGAGGGGGTCTGGGTGCCTGTGATTGGTACAAGCTCCGCAAAGGCATCTGCCAGCAGGACTTCAGAGGAATGCGAAACCAAATCATTTACAAGTTAAAGATAGACGCAGAAAACACGGCATCCTGAGCCAGGGTTTAAATTCATCCCTCTCCGCCTGGCTCCTCGCAAAGCTCTGGTTGTCAGCTTCCCTCTGCCTCCTCTCAAGACTTAAATACTCCCGTAAAAATCACATAATTCTGGATTCCTTGGAATTACTGAGGTGGCCAAAGAGATCATGGTGCATACCATAGGGTAAGTAGGAAGCTTGCCTTTTTGCCATTTGCTGCCGCGGGGTCTCTGTGCTTGCCTCGTGTTCTCAGAGCTCTCAGCACTTCCTTTAAGGTAGATTTTTAAGTAATGCTTTCCTCGGTGATTTATTTTCCCCTCTTTTCCCGTTGTGGATTGTTTGAACTTTATTCCTCAGTGAAGTGTTAACTCGCAAGGTTTCTTGTCTTGGCGTGCCGAGGGAGTCTTGGGCTTTAATAACCTTCCCGTTACAGTTTTGGGTGCTCTTTGCCTGTCAGCTCAATTTTATCACAACCCTTTGCTCTTCGTGAGTGAGATATGCGTGAAATGCTGCTCATTATCACAAAGCTGAGAAGCAGGTTGTTTTCAGCATTACAGAGGATATAATCAGTATTTGTTTGCTTTTTTCACCATGGTTTCACTCATTTGCTATTTCCTTACGTGTGAGTTTGATCACAACACAGGGCTAATTAAATGTAACTTTTCTGTTTGTTTGTTCCTAGAGCGTGCTTTTACTGGGCTTTCAAACTTTTTATATTTTTTCCATTTTGGCCTTTATGTTTTCTCTCAACAAAGCAATTCCAGTGGTAATTAAAAAATGTATGTGTTCCCCTGGTAGTAATTACTGGAGATGTGAGTTTATGAGCAAGAAGATTCAAGCTGTCATATTCTTTCTAAACTTACCAAAAGTAATTTCAGTATCTAGCAGATTCATCGCCTCATTGATCAATGGTATTTTCAGGGTATTTCCCAAACATTTCTGGTGAAGCTGTGGTGTTCCTTTGACCAAAAGGGTTTATTAAATATCAGCAACTCGGTGGGAAGTCAGCTGTAAAATTTGTTGCATAGCAGGAACTGATACTGTGAGAGTTTCCTCTAAACCCGTGATGTGAGGATTGCCGAAATGGCAGCATCACTTTTATTGCACATTTTGGGCACACATGTTGCATGCTCGTAGCAGAGGAGCTCCAAGCCCTGGTGCCGGTGGCCTCGGTGGCCATTCGCCCAAACATGCCCCGAATTCCTGACGTGTTACTGCTGCCCGTGGCAGCCCTGGGAAGCGGGCGCTGCCAGCGGGTTGCTGAAACACCGAACATTTTTGGCTATAGATATGGGTGGCAAAGAGACTCATCCGATGTCCATCCTTGCCTTGCAAAATATGAGCAATGGAATGAGCTGAAATAGAAACGTTTCCTCAGTTTGAAGGAAAGATGCTGGATCTGGTACATTTTATGGGCTTTATTCCATTTGATCGAGTCCATGCTTGTTGATCAGCTCTCTGCAGTTTTGTAAATATCTGGGTTCATTGGGGTGAGCAGATCTGCCGCGAGTTGTTTCCTGAGTGGTTGAATCTAGGGGATGAAGGAGAGGCAGATGCAGAACTTTTAACATCAATGTGAAGAGCAATTGCAGGAGCATTTAAGCCATTTAAGCCACTTCTCCAATAGCTGATAACAGTTGGGTGTTCTCTTAACTGGTACAAACTAGCTAAACACTTCTGTCCCGTGCTAAATTTCTGGGCCAGCTGGTTCCTAAATTAAGGTATCACTGTAATTATTTGTTTTGGTATCGAAGTGGAAGAAGTTTGAGACAAAATATGTGAGGATGAGTTAAAAATCACAGCGGGGCTTAGCAGAGCTGTGGTTGTTTCTGGCTCGTGCACTGGATTCCTGTGCAGCTTCGGGCAAGCTGAGTTTTCTGATCCCCTGCCGAACGGAAGGGGGTGGGAATACCTTCCTTACCCCTCTGTGTTACGGATGTGGATAGCAGGTCCTCGGGACAGGCATCGCCTCTGCACGGTACAACAGGCATCTGTTTTCAGACGGCATCCCCCTCCCCAGGGCTACAGCAGGAGGAGGGGGGCGGGGGAAGGAGGAATTCACAGATTTGGAAGCGGTTTCACAACACCTTTTATAAGCTTCCTAAACCGAAAAAGAAAAATAGGCTGACATTCAGAGGTGAGCAGAAAATAGAATTAATGTTCCATGGGAAATTCCTGAGTCAGTTCAAAATTAAATTGCATTTCCCTACCGCAGTTTATTGCTTTTTCAGAAGCATTGGTTCAGGAGCATGATGTTCCCATTTCATTATCTGAGACCCTTCTCCCATAATTAAATGTCCAGGAGGCACCAGAGAGCTTTGTCAGAGGGAAACCTGCTTTGTATTGTGGGAAGCGAAGCCACCAGAAAAAAATAAATAAAAAAGAAGAAAAAAAATAGTTCATGGAAAGAAGTGGGCATCTCACCCAGGAGCAGGCATTCCCAGAATAACGGGCTGCATTGCGATGTTGGGTTGGCTTTAAAGAATATGTTCTGGTGTATCAAGCCCACCTGAAATAGCATCTTTCAGTCTGATGGAAATGGGAAATCTTCAGTAAACTGGTATTTTCCTGTAGAAAATGTTGGTGTATTTGATACAGTTTATATATGATAATAGTGTCGTGGGTTTTTTTTCCCCGAAATGGAGAATGCCTGGCCGGCCCCGGTGCGCTGTTAGGGGACGTGGTTCCGTGTGTGCTGGGCAGCGTGTTGGTGTCATGGGGGCCCCCCGCAGCAGGCAGCTGATGAAGGCAGCGAGCAGACCAAACACAGCGAGCACCACGCAGGCCAACAGCTGCAGCAGGGATGCCTCCGGATTTGGGGAGTCGCCTTTGCTGTTGGGGTACTCCCCAGATGCCAGCGTGTTGTCCATCGCTGCCACGTGCCATGCTTTCCTGCCCTGAGGCGATGACTGGTGTCACCTGGGGGCAATCCCTGCTTTATCACAGCTGGTAACAGGTTTGCTCCTCATCCATTACCATTAAGTTGCAAGTGACTTTGCTGCAGGAGTTGAGAAGAAACGTGCTTCCCAAGGTGCGAATGGGTTTGCAGCAATTCTTCCTTTAATACATCCCGTGAGTCTTTCAATGCAAACCGCGGTAAAACCCATGGCAGGGATACACAGATGGGTGCTAAAATCCTTCCTTGCTGGACTCTACAGTTATTCTTCATGGGTCCCTTTTCCTTTCTGTCATCACCACTTTTTCCATTGTAAATCTTTATTTCTAGCCTCATCTTCAAGCTTTTCTCAGTGATCATTCTGCCAAAAATTGGGAAAGAGGAGTGTTGTCAGGAACTGCTTGGTTAAGAGCGTAAGGGCCGTTTCCCCAAGGGCCCCTGAGAAGATGCTGGCATGTTTCTCAGCTCACAAGTACCTAGGAGCAGCTCTCAGTGAAATAATTTCCTTTGGGCCCTGATGAATCTACTCCCTGCGCCAGTCGCTAATTTGTTTTGGCGGAATATGACAGGCGATGCCTAAATACAAGGCACCACGCTACAGAAAGCCTCGATTCTGTAATTTTGTAACTCTGGTATAAAGGACAAAAACACACAAACCCAACCAAATACAATGAAATCACCATGTCCTCTGTAGCCACCTATAACGTCGGAGGCCAGGAGCCCTCACAGCTGCGTTCACTGGGAACCTGTGCAGGTCCTGCACTTGCTATTGATCCTGGCTCCCTGTGCATCAAGCAACAAAGCATTTCCTGAGCTAATTAGTACTGTATGAAGAGACTCTACCTGGAAATACAGCGAGATTTCCCACTAATAGGATGCTTAAAAATGCATCTAATTGCAGCTGTGGTAGTTGAGATAATGCCTAATACCTAATAGCCTGGAGAAAACTACCCTCCCTTCCAGAGGGATGTGGCGGGAGGCCAAGTTTTGGGGTGTCTTTCTTGGGTCTGAACCAATTGTGTGGCCTCTTGCTACGTTTGGCTATAAAACCAGAACTAGGGAAGTGTACGATGAGTAATAGGAGATGGGAAAGTGCTGGGGACGGTGAATCCCTGCTTTTGAATTTATTTGTTGGGGTGACACGACCAGCTGAGCCTAACCTTCCCTGTGGCAAGAGGGTCAGAAGACAGTGTGTCAGCTGCTGTGCATCTTGGCATCATCTCATCTAAAGGTGGGGACAGAAACATTTGCCCAGTTTTGTCAAGTGCTCTCAGGTCAAGGGATGGAAAGTGTTATGTGCTATGTGCTATGCTCCTACCTTCTTTTGTGTCTGTTGTAAGGATGAGGCTATCCTGTGAAATACCTCCCTGTAAATTTCTAAGAACATTTGCACTCAGCAGATCGCAAGAAAAAAAAAAAAAAGAGAGAGAGAAAAATGAATCAGACACACAGAAGTCTGTGAGCAAAGAGGCATTAAAAACAATTTATTGACAACCAGTGACTAGTTCTTTCAAGCACAATTAAAGTAAGCACAGCTAAAGCACAGAAAAGTGTGCTCAGAGCAACATTGTCCTTGAGTACTCATTACCAAACAAGAGCTGCAGATAGAATTAATCTTACCCTTTCCCAACACATTTTTTAAATACACCATTTAACAAGAGCGTAGTTTTATTTGAAAGCATGGCAGAGCAAATGCTTCTCAGCAAAAGAATTATAAGGGATTTTTTTAGCATGGGTGGAACTATCTTTTCCTGAACTTTAGCTTTGAAACTTGCTGAATGCATATATATAATACATTCTGCTTGACTGCAATATCCAGTGTGCAGAATTTCAGGTCAAGCTTAGAGTTTAGCAGAGCAACTGGGAAAAAAAAAAAAAAAAAAAAAAAAGTAGAAAGTAGTAGAAAGTGGGTGTAAGCAGAGGAAACTTGCTAAAATAATGATGGCAAGAAGCTGTTATGGGAGTCTAGGAGGTAGTAAATGCAATTTCAGTAATCATACAGCTCAATGAATAATTAGGTAGCTGATGATTAAAAAGTATCCATGCAAATATGAGCTCTCCATCCACATCAAATCTGGTGATGTATGCCCAAACAGCATTTAAAGAGCTGGAGTTTTAACTAGCTCTAACTAGTCTAAAGCAGGGAATTTTTGAATAGTTTTCAGGGTTAGGTGAGCTCTTGGCAAGCCGGTGCATTTACGTTGTAAGGCAGATACGTGTCTGTTGAGAGTCGCAGTCACATATGAGAACTCAGTGGTAACTTGGAGTGAATGGACCTAGGCTTTGAGT